GTGCTGCTAGGAACACACTGACAGGCTGCGTTTGGAATAGCAGTTGCTAGTAGGAGGCTATAGCTAACGAGCTCAGTAGAATTAATGCTGTTTTAGCCTTTGATTGTTAATAAAAACATAGATTGATTGTTAGCATCATATCAGTGTTTAAACCTTTATTACAATCAAGTTTCCCAAGACTTTAAAAGCAAAAGCAAACCATTAGCATCTAGCTAATGTAGCCTAGCCAGATCTGTAGCAGTGGAAGCTAGTTCCAAACAGAGAAATCATGATTAGCAGGAGGCTAGCTGTTATCAGCATCATTAGAGGCTGACTCTCCTACTTCCAGCTGACTTAAAGCTGTAATGACGGTAGGCTGTCTCAGTGTGATGTGTGGCGGCGGTTTGCCACGCCGCTCGGCAGCGTGGCTGAGCGGACGGGGGCGGTTCAGCTCCAGGCGCTCTGTGCCTGTTGTTGACAGATAAAGGCGACTTCTCTCTCAGTGAGTTGAGATCCCATCGTTCAGCTGCAGAAGCAGAAGGCCTTGGCTTTGCAGTCATGGTTTTCCTGCTCCGTGTCCCGTTATGCTGCTGTTGTCATGCAGAGAGGAGTTCCAAATGAGGAGAACTGTCTGAATTGTGTCTCCATCCTTGGTCACGTCCTGAAAATGGTTTTTCCATCTACAATCTGTCAGTACAGGTCTTACCAGCCTCATTCCGTCTGCCATCTATTATTTCTTATAAATCACATCTTTATATTGATGTCACCCTGCACCCAGTTTTGATGCATCCATCAGATCTCCCTCAGCAGATGAACTAGCTCACAGCGGGCAGCTGGTGACGCCGCCGTCCGGCCGCCGTGTGCCGCCACCGGCCGCCCGCTAACATTTAGTCTGTTAGATTTTCATTGTTTGTTGAAAAACAGAATGAGTTTACCGTTTGTTTCACAGCTTGAATGTTAATGCCTTTTTAATAAAGGTCACCTCCCAGAGTGGATGATGGGACTATATCCCAGAATTCCTTATTTTATGTCTATCTTATTTTTATAATGAATGTAGATCAGATTAGATCTTTAGCTGTATATCCTAGACCTGCTCCTCTGTTCATCTCTGGTGCAGCAGTGAGGATCTTCATTTGGGATCTTCCCATACATCCATCCTCGGTTTTCCATCCGCCTTCAATAGTTTTTCATCCGTCTATCGACAGTTTTCTGTCATCAGATTTCCATTGTCAGTTCTCAATTCATCTACCCTCAATCCTTCCATCCGTCATCAGTTTTCCATCCGTCTGTCGTCAGTTTTCCATTTGTCCGTCCTCAGTATTCCGTCCGTCTATCGTCAGTTTTTCGTCCGACCGTCATCAGTTTTCCATCCATTCGTCATCAGTTTTCCGTCCGTCCGTCGTCGGTTTTCCATCCGCACGTCGTCGCTTTTCCATCCGCACGTCGTCGCTTTTCCATCCGTCCGTCGTCAGTTTTCCTTCCGTCCGTCGTCAGTTTTCCGTCCGTCCGTCATCAGTTCTCTGTCCGTCCATCGTCAGTTTTCCATCCGTCTGTCGTCAATTTTCCGTCTGTCAATTTTCCGTCTGTCAGTTTTCCGTCCGTCTATCGTCAGTTTTCCGTCCGTCCGTCGTCGGTTTTCCGTCCGTCCGTCGTCAGTTTTCCATCCGTATATTGTCAGTTTTCCGTCCGTCTATCGTCAGTTTTTCATCCGTCTATCGTCAGTTTTCCATCTTTATAACGTCAGTTTTCCGTCCGTCCGTCATCAGTTTTCCGTCCGTCCATTGTCGGTTTTCCGTCCGTCCATCGTCAGTTTTCCGTCCGTCTATTGTCAGTTTTTCGTCCGTCTATTGTAATTTTTTCGTCCGTCTATTGTCAGTTTTTCGTCCGTCTATCGTCAGTTTTCCATCTTTATAACGTCAGTTTTCCATCCGTCCGTCATCAGTTTTCCGTCCGTCCATCGTCAGTTTTCCGTCCGTCCGTCATCAGTTTTCCGTCCGTCCATCGTCAGTTTTCCACCCGTCTGTCGTCAATTTTCCGTCTGTCAGTTTTCCGTCCGTCTATCGTGAGTTTTCCATCTTTATAACGTCAGTTTTCCATCCGTCTATCGTCAGTTTTCCGTCCGTCTATCGTCAGTTTTCCATCCGTCTATCGTCAGTTTTCCATCCGTCTATCGTCAGTTTTCCATCCGTCACTCTCCCAGCAGCGCTGCTCCTCCTGTCGGGTTAAGGTCTGGTTCTCAGACCAAGCAGCAATCCCCTGTCATCCTATTTATGCGGATATTTCTATAACTTTCTGTCTGAGCTTTTTATAATCAACATCTGTAGGATGAATGATCCCATATCTCCCGCCTGTCTTCACTCCTGACTTTGGACTTCCCAAATTTAACAATACGACCCTATTATATCACATTTATCTTTCATCATGTCTCTGATTACAATATAATGTAAATAACCAGCATTTTATTTCAACATTTATCTCCTTTTCTTCTGTATTTGTGGAAAACGTTGGAATTTGTCTCCGAAGGTTGGACAGGTGCTGCTCAGTGTTCCCACTGAGGTTTTAATGGGTGGTGTGGTGTTTGGAAAAGGTCACGACCTCTGCTCCTCAGCACTCATCGGTTTAGGCGGGTCGTAAACACGCATGTTCCCAGTGGAGGCGGAGCTCAGGCTGGGATAGCAGGGGCTAATTACAGGAAAAAGCTCCTTTCCTCTGAATGCAGCTGATTGCTCTGCCTCTTCCTCCACTGGAAGTCAGCACTATGTCATCACACATGCATGGTTGCCCTGGCAACATGGAGTATGGGAATGTTGGAGCGTGATCTGTTTCACCCTTTTTTACTCATCAGTTAGAGCAGATCTATGTAGAACCACATGTCTCGACCTACGGTTACCCTGGAAGTAGGAACAGGTCCCCTAATGAACGCAGCCCTCTGCTGAAAGTATTCACACCCTCTGCACCCCTTAAACTCTGACTTCCATTGTTTATGGAGATTTAAGGTGACAAAAATATTCAAATCTGTTCAGAACTCTTTACTCTGGTACCCCTAAATAAAGTCCACGTCAAAGAAAGAAGCGATAAGCGGTTACCCTGGTAACTGAGGAGGGGCCATGAGTCTGGCCCTGTGGAGCGCAGCTCAGATGAGCCACATGTGGCAGAGCTGCGGTCCCTCCTTTCAACATGGCGGTGGCAGCGGCATGCTGTGGGGGAGCTGCTCAGAGCTGATGGAGGACGGATGGAGTTGAGCTGACAGAGGGGGGGCTAACAGCCTGCCACCTGGGAGCAGAGTTCAGGTTTCCTCTGGGAAGTTCTGGCTGCGGTCCGTTTCACTTCCTGGAGAACTTCATACGTCTCCTTATTTTGTTTCTGACCAATCAGGACGCTCTGCTCCGCGGCGCCGGCTGTCTGGGGGCTTCTGGACCCTCTAATCAGAGATTAAGGAGGAATCCATCTAAAATGTTCTGAGCCCAGCTCAGAGGGAAGCTGATCTCACAGCATCAAGCGTTTCCAACATGAATGCTGCACTAATCAGCTGTTTATCACTAAAGCCTTTATTTTATTATTTAGTAGCAAAAGTGGAGGTTTTCTCTGAGGGAAAAGGCTTCATCTGGGATCCTCAGCCTGCAGCTAGCCGGGCTGTTAGTGCTTCCTCTGAACCGGAGAGCCACGCTCCAGCGCCCCGACGCTCCCAGCAGCAGCGGGTGGGGGTGGGGGATGAGAACTTAGCTGTGTGTAAAATGTTTCAGGTCCCAGAGGCAGAGTAATGGCCGCCACTCTGTTTGCACACTTGATTATTAGCAGAGCCGGTTGGAGGGGCAGGTGCTCAAAGGGGGAACATGGAGCGCAGATTTAAAACACCGAACACAAACATCAACCCAATCACAACACACCATAACACTCACATGTTTGTTAGAGGTCAGTACACGGCGAAATGAGTCTGTTTCAGCTCATGAGTGGATCGAACAGCTTCTGTGGTGCTGTGTTGCTGAAAGGGGGGTTCTATTGATCTGATAGTGTAGACACTAAAAAGAACATGGCAGAGATAGTAGCTGATTAAATGAGAGGTTTGTGTTCATGCAAGATGCAAGGATACCTAACATTAACATTGGCTCACTGTGACTGATAGTTTGGAAGAGACGACTTGTTGAGATCTGGGGGTCTGTCTGTCTGTCTGTCAGTGTCTGTCTGTACCTGAGTTGTTTGTAACCATCACAGCAGCATTTTCTTTTTTGCACTTATAACAGCAACTTCCTGTTGCCTTTGCTCTTAAAAATGTCAATGACTTGTGAGTTCTTGTGCTCTTTGTCATCCAGCTGGTGAGTGATCCACCACCTTCACCGCCTCACGCAGCTCCGTTTTGTTTGGTCTTAACCTTCCTCTCCTTTTGAGGCATCTCTGCTAAATGAAACATGATCCTTAAACTACAATCTGATGCACATAAATCACACAAAAAACTTACATTTCATAACTTTTTTAAAAAATGTACTGTATAGCCACACATTTAATCCATTAACAATTTGCCCTTTATTATTCCTAGCGGTATAAACAAAAATCAATTAAATGTAGAGTATTATATCATTGAATAAATTATTCAAATATTTTTTTGCTTTTATTTAGTTTTAGTATTGACTTTGGGCATGACATCAAGAATCTAAACGTTTAATGATCTGTGTTCATATTAGCCTCTATGGGCCGATTTATTTTTTGTGTAAATAAATGATTTAGAAAACCCAAAATGAATATGCATAATGCAGTTTTAGTGAAATAAACAGCTTAACAGTAAGATAACATATCTCTCTAATGCACTTTGCTCATGGCAGGAGAAACAGACGATAAAAACCTGACGTACTTCTTCCCCATAACACGCTTTGCATGTTTGGTCAACCAGCTAGTGTAACCAGCTAACTCTAACTGTAATATAGATTATTTTACCGCAATTGCATCTGTGCCCCCTCCAGTTCGGTCGGGCCGTCGTTCTATAGAGAATACCCACTTTTTGGGGTTCTGTCTGAAAAAGCCCTGAGATGTGCTGGTACCAGAGCCGAGCTCGGCTGAGCAACCGGGTCGTCCCACAGGGCAGCCGTCAGCGTCCTTCAGTCTACGATGATGAGACGGATGCAGTGTGGCTCAGGTTGGACGGGAAGACCTCATTGTTCAGTTGGTCTCTAAACATTCTGGGACGTTTCCACTGAGCATCAAACCATTTGGATTTTGTGGGAACTCTGAAAGTCTCTATATGACATGAGATGCTTTATCCATACATGTAGGGCTCTGCTACCGTCT